GGGGGGGGCACCCGTCAATACAAACAAGCTGCTCGCCTGCACCATGCCGATCGCATTTTGGAAAATCCTTTTTCTTCATTTGACCATCATAACTGGCTTTTGCTGCTGTTTTCGTATCCAAGGGAATCCTGAGGATAATCCAAACATACCAGCGATCGCAAAATACTTCAGCACGAAAGGGAGGTACGAGGAAGTGAACCCGTATCTCATAGAGGACATACTCGCTGTAAACAGGTCCATCCTGCAGCCTCCGTCCGCGCAATGTCGCGAAATTCACCTGACCGCCATCATAAGACACGGCACGAGGTACCCGACGAGCAAAAACGTCAAGAAGATGCAGAAGCTCTACGACATCGTCCTACACAACGCCTCGGGTAAAGCCAGCTGGCTGCGTGAAATCCAGACCCAGTGGACGATGTGGTACACGGAGGACATGGACGGCCGCCTCGTCCAGAAAGGTGTGAACGACCACAAGCATCTGGCCGTCAGGCTGTCAAAGCTGTTCCCCTCACTGATTTCAGAGGTGAAGCTCAGAGGTGGATTCATCAAGTTCATAAGCAGCTCAAAGCACAGGTGTGTCAACAGCACACTGTCCTTCAAGGCAGGACTGACAGAGCTGTGGGCTATTACAGGTAAAACCACCTAAAATATATGATGATCGACAACTTAGATACATTCTCATTAACCTGTCACCTTCTCTCTACCCAGATAAGGAGTTTGACCATGCAGTGAACGATGCTCTCATGAGGTTTTTTGACCAGTGCGCCAGGTTTGTGCAGGAAGTTGATAAGAACCCCTCAGCTCTGTCAGAGGTGGACCAGTTCAGGCAGGGACCAGAGATGAGGAGGGTCACGGAGAAGATCGCAGACCGGCTCAGGGTCCCCTACAATGACATCACAGACGGTCAGTGCTGGAGGAAGTACTCGGATCCTTTATTTCATAATAATTGATTTATAACTACATTATAAAAAAATATTCCTTTACAAGTAAAATCCCTATATTTAGAAAAGTAACTACAGTTAAAGTACATAAGTATGTTCCACCAAGTGTATGAACTTAAAGTATCCAAAGTAAAAGGTGGTCTGTATGTCAACTAGTTTGTGGTAATTTGATGAAACACATCTTTATTTAGGAAGGTGCACCATGTGAGCACAAGACCAAGTAAAATAACAAAGACATTAGAACTTGATTGAGACACAAGGCCACAATATTAAAATAAATGCAATTTCCCAAACAAATGTACAAGTAATCAAATGAACAAATAAACACAGTGAACCTTGGACTCTTGGTGGCCTCAGAGCAGTTGCCTGCTTTGCCTCGTTAGTAATCCAGCTATGATGCCTCATTAATTATGATATATTTTATTGGACGTGTGAATGTGTGAATAGCATTGACTGTTTACGATTCACTGTAATTGATTGATCTTCAAAGTAACTACAGCTGTCAAATATGTAGTAGTGGACTAGAAGTGGGAAGTAGCATACAATGTAAATACCTATGTAAAGTATATGTATATCAAACCTTTACTCGAGTACATAGCATCAAGTAAATATAGATAGTTATATTCCACCATTGGGAATGGTCAGATTTGTGATTATCTTTTCTAATACTTTGCTATCGAGTGCACTGTGTGCTAAGTACTCCGATTCATTTACCATTATTTAGGTCCAAAGTTTCTTAAGAATATGGATCCCAGGTCTGTTACTTGCAGGTAACCAAAAGAAAAGAGCTACTCCTGATTGGCAATAGTTGTTTCTGAAGGTATTTGTCTTATTTCTCACTGTAAATGTGTGTTTTTATTTTGCACTTCTGTATTATCCTAATAGATCCTTAAGAGATTTTCTGGGGAAAACTGTAATTTAGTACTGACTATGTAGGGGAAATAGAGACTAAGATATTGAGTATTTACGATTATACACAGTTGCTGAGTATTTTCCTTCAAATTTGTCCCATTTCAATCCATTAATCACATTTTTTGGATCTGGTCTGCTGTGCAATGACAAAAAAAAAAAACGATCAAAGTGATTGAAAATAATTCATTGAAAGTGTCGCAATTGAAGACGGTCTCCATTTTCCCAATCATTACCTTCTCAAATGCATCTGCTGCCATTGAACACAACAATTAGCAGTCGCTAAAGCATGAGATATGAGGGAGACAGTGTGTGCTGGACATCCCATTCATATTTCACAGAGGGTATGTGTACAGTAGATGGAGCTGTTTTCTAATTTGAAGAAATTAGCCAATATTGACTCTTCATTTGTGGCTTTGAAGAAGTGCCACAAGAATCAAAGACGTGTTCCGGATAAATAAGGTCAGGCGCCAGTGCTTCTGATTGTGTGTGCTTTAATGATTGCCTAGCCCGTCTGATTTCACTACTTATCTACATTTCACTATTGCAACCCTTGTTCTGCAGATATGGCCGAAGCTGCATTTTATTTGTGTGCTTATGAGTTTGCCATCAGGACTGTGAACTCCCCATGGTGTCAGCTGTTTGATGAAGTTGACGCACAGGTGAGGCCCTGTTTGTGGATCATTGAATGTGCCAACCATGCAGCTCAGATTCCTTCATAAAAGTTAGAGATGATGTGCTTGTTCAACTTAAGTTACTCTTTGTCCTTTATCCCAATGGATTAGACTGTGTGAAGTTTATTAATATACAGGCCCTCTAGTCATGTTAGACGTAGCACCATCAGTCTTAAACCCTCCCGTCATGCGGGAAACAATGTTATCAAATATCTTTAATGCTGTATCTATTCTTTGAACCCAGATTTAAAAGCCTTCTACAAATTAACTAGACATCCCATGTAACATCTGTTGCATTACATCTTCCTATTTAATCTGTCTGTAAAGGAAGGAAACATTTGGAAGGCCAAGTCATATTAAGACGACTGCCTTACCTCGTAGGTAATGGTTTCTCTGCTGTGTTCCTTCATTGAGAAACCTTGGCAGTATTCATGTCACAAAGACAGACCCCTGTGTTTTTTTAGTCTTCTCTAAAACCCCACATCTTTGTACTATCTGGCTCAACAGGTGTTGGAGTATGCAAACGACCTTAAGCAATTCTGGAAAAGAGCTTATGGTTACGATATCAACCGCAAGTCGAGCTGCATTCTCTTCCACGATGCGTTTAGTCGACTCGACAGAGCAGCCGACGAGAACAAGTGAGTAAACCTTGTCCTTCAAGTTGTAAGATTGTAGGATGCTGTTACTCTGTAATGTTGTTATCGTCAACAAATCCAATGAAAAAGACAAAAGAAACAATCCATCTCTCAATTCTCACCTTGCCTTTAGGTCTCGGCCCCAAGACCATTCTTTACTACTCAAGGCGTTTGATGTGGTTTATTTTCAGCTGTATGAATACAAATGTGTTGCTCTGGTGCTCTGGTCTTTATGAACGACTGCTCTAGTGAGTATTAACAGTAATAGGATGGTGTATACGAGACTGACTCAACATAAACTATAGTACCCATGTTCATTGTAATGAAGGATGATGTCAGCCTGTGCAACTGTGTGGCTCAATGATGATTTTGTACAGCAATGGAAGTCTATGGTATATAAGCTATATCAAGGATTGGATACACAGACAATGCTTGTTCATGGGATTTGTTGAAAATAATAAAAATATAGAACATCACAAGCCGTATCCTTTAAATCACTGCATGGTAAGACACTCTGTAATAGAGAAAGACGCTGCATGTGCTAAGTCCACTAACATAACAAGAATCAACATTTTTGTAGCTGTATTTTGTAAGTAATGTATCTGTCTCTGTTTCTAGCTTCTCTTAGTTCAAGGTGAATTTACTGTCATTGTAAAAAGCAACACTATTATTTATTGTGTAATGTGGAGGAGTCTCAGAGTTGTTCCGATAGTCTTTTTTCCTTACCGACACAGATTTCTCTTCAACATCTCTTTAATTACACTTTTTACAGAGCTTATTGTGTGTTAGACCTGAAACTGATGTTGTATATCTTGTACGTCAGGTCAGGGCAACAGGTGACTGAGGCTGTGACGGTCCAGGTCGGCCATGCAGACACCCTCCTGCCCTTGCTTACCCTCCTGGGCTTCTTCAAGGACAGCGAGGCCCTGACTTCCACCAACTTCGCCACACAGGCCCAGCGCTCCTTCCGCACCAGCCACATGTTGCCCTATGCAGCTAACTTAGTCCTGGTGCTATACGACTGCGGAGGAGGCGACCTGAGACTGCAACCGCTGCTCAACGAGAATCCTGTGACCTTCCCCGGTTTGACTAACCAGCAGGCCTCCATGCCGAGCTATCAAGACGTCAGAGATCACTACAGGGAGCTGCTCCAAGGCTGTGACTTTGAGACTGAGTGTCAGCTGTTCAAGAGTCCAGCTTAAGTCAAAGCACACCGGGTAGATCCTGGAAAAGAGGCCTTGCAGTGGCTTTATTGTGTTTTATTTGTCTTCCGGCTGAGAAAAGGTGTCTCTGAAACTGATCCCAGCCTAGCAATTTCATTTCAAGTTCACATGTACTATTGCAGTATTACTTCAAATATATTGCTTATTGTTTGCAATGTTTCATTCCACGAATTAAAGAATATATTTTTGCAGTGTACACATTTGATATTGCTTCGAGATTGTGTGGTCAGTATGTATGACGAGATAATCGGTGCCTTTGAAAGAACAAGGTTTTAAAGATTGTCCAAGATCCATTTCTTTACTTCTTATCAGTGTATTACTCCTGTTGATTGATTCAAAATGAAACCCTTTTGTTAATAAATTCCAGAGAGACGATGTTAATGTGGCAGAAAGGTCTAGGTGGGATTTGGGCTGGACAATGTCCTTCAAGTGTACAAAATACCAGTGATGGAAAAAAATCTTTAGAAGTAGAAGTATCAATGCCACAGAGGAGAGTTACATTACACTACAGGTAAAAGTCCTGCATTCAAAACTTTAAAAGTATTGTACGTTTTTATATCTGTTGGGATCTGACTATATGGCTTCGACATGTGCTGTGGAACAAAGAGAGTCAGGCCTTCCCTTTTGCAAGCAAAGGTTTCATCCTGATTGTAGTTTGAGCACCAAACCCCCCAACTCTGAAGAAATTCACATTAGGGTGTGAGTTTCCTCCCCCCAAAAACTATGTGTCCCTGAAGTTACCTGAAAGCAGCGCTGCAATCTAATTGGCCGAGGGCCAAGACACCCCAGGACCCCTGTGGTTCAGCCACCCTTTCTACAAAACTACCTGCAACCCCCACCTCAATGCTTTTTCCATCGATCCCTCCGGGGTAGCAGGAGGCACACATGCAACGTTGTTCTTTTAATCAAAACCTAGGTTTAACAGTTTTATATTCGCTGGCCGAATTCACCAAACAAAGATCTTAATCTTTTGTTTTATTTCATTTTGTTTTGTTCCTTTCCCTTCTCTTTTACTAATCCACACACACACACATATAGCTTTGAGCTAATGTAGCTACGTGCTAAACGGCTACCGGCACGTATAGACGCCGGGTCTTCTGTTGGCTATCCGCCATTTTGACTCTCGCGCATGAGAGATGTCACCACATCCCAACTACATCATACGTCACTGAGCTGTTCCCTCGCTCCTCCCCCTATGCACACACACACATGCACACACACACACACACTCCCCCCCCCTCTTTTCAATAGTCTGTTGATTTTAGATAGCGTGCTCATAAATGTATAGTTGTTAGTTTAGATATTAGTTGACTAGATCATTAGTATTAGAACGTAATAAACTCTGTTATATTTTAAAGAGCAGCTGTCTGTGATTACTTTGTGCATGTGTATTGTGATAATAGCTGTATATGTGGTCTGTGCTCGAACTTAAACCTTCACTTTCACTCTGAATGTGTAATAGTACTCAGACTATTGACATTGTGAGTGAACACTAATTATGAGACTAGTTTATCGTTTGGTTATTGGTCCCTGTTCGCAGGGTGGTGCCCCGTTATTATTAATAATCATTAATAATTGTTACTGACATTAATAATTCTATTGATGTCAAGAATTTAGTTTCTTAGATGCTGATAACCCAAACACGCTCCTTTACGTTCCCAACATATTGCTGATAACCTGTGTGAGGCTGTTATTCCCAACATATTGGTGCCCCGTGTGAGGCCACGTTATACCAGCTTTATCACAGTGTTTATGTACATTAGTCCAGAATTGACTTTGATAATTTGTGAATAATTTTTGAGAAATTAATATTTTTCCACGAAAGTGGATTTTTGAATCATTTAAATTTTCCGAAATTTGTATTTTCCAAAATTAATATTTTTCCAAAATTTTATTTTTCTAAAATTAATTTTTTTCCAAAATTAATTTTTCCCTTTTTTCCTTTTCACCCTTTGATTTTGTAAGTTAAATTACTCGTTTAATTTCCTAAACAAACACTCAGCTGTTGTGGTAAATGTGATCGTTTAATTGTAACACAAACTCATTTTGGTTTTTTTGAGTCCTCATAAATCCAAAACACAGCTGTCACCAGCCAGAAGTGCTAAGACCACTTCAGTAGCATTCCAATTGCAAAGCAGTAGAGCAGTAGAAATTGTAAGTCACAGAACTAAGCATTTCACTGTATACCTCAAAACAGCAATTAGCATATAGCAGTCAAACTTGTAAGTCACAGACTAGGCAGTTCACTGTGCACCCGTTAATAACCGTAACAGTCCCTTGCTCACATTAAGTAAGCAACACCACTGGGGGTCGCCACTTACTAAAAGTAAAACGTGCAACCAGAAACCCAGGTTAGAAGCATGAAGCTCAACAGGAGTCAGACAACCCTGCATTACAAGATGCAGTTGCTGGCCCCCTCAGTCGCTACCATGTTGTGCAGCAGGACACAACTGCCCTGCCACAAGAAGCCCGGGTCGCTCGAACAGAGCTGGACCAGCTGTAGAAGAGCTATTAAGCTCATCATGGTCCCCAAAGCGAAAGCCTCTAAAGTTTTAGAGAGTAACACCCTGAGTGCACAACTCCAGGCTGCTCAGAGAAGCACTAAGACCTGGCATGAAGAACCTCAGGGGGGTCAGGTAAGTATTGCTGTCGCAATCCCCGACCCCATGATAGGCCTCCTCCCTGACATAGTTAGACAAGCCCTGCCCCAAAGGCTTGATGAGGCTCGACTGAGTGGACAAGCCACTACAGTCACCTTGAAGACCAGCTGCAGAAGAGCTATTAAGCTCATCATGGTCCCCAAAGCGAAAGCCTCTAAAGTTTTAGAGAGTAATACCCTGAGTGCACAATTCCAGGCTGCTCAGAGAAGCACTAAGACCTGGCATGAAGAACCTCAGGGGGGTCTGGTAAGTATTGCTGTCGCAATCCCCGACCCCATGATAGGCCTCCGCCCTGACATAGTCAGAAAAGCCCTGCCCCAAAGGCTTGATGAGGCTCAACTGAGTCGACAAGCCACTACAGTCACCTTGAAGACCACTGCTAGGAGCTTAGCAGCGTCTAGTGGTGTAGTTCTTCATCACACCACCAGGGACAGCGACTGAGCACCCCAGTCTGCTCACGTGCTTGATCCAGGTGTCTCGCTCCCCACTTTGCATTTTGACAGGAGGGGCTACTCCCAGGCCCCGAGTGGCATTAGTGGTTCCAAACCCACATCCACAGGTGAAGAAAACGTCCCGTGTAGGCCATGCATGCACCTGAAACGCAGCCCCTCCCCCACACGTCGAAAGGGTAGTTGTCCTCACTGCTATGTTGTCTTAAACGACTATGCTAATTCAGACCACTCTGATGATCCAGGCCCTCTCCACGCGCAGGGTCTGCCTATCCATCAGCTTGAGTCTCTTGCGAACGACATAGAACGCTTTGATCCAGAAAATCGTGAGTCATGGCATCAGAAGACATTTCACCCTAAAAAGAGAATTAGGTTCAAACGAAATCTTAAGTCTCAAACCCACTCCAGAAAGCAAGTTTAGACCCAGAGATCAAGAGTCTTATACACCAACATGTGACGGAGGCGGTAAAGAGCTTTACCACACTCCGGACACCGGTGGACGACCTGAAGCCACTAAACCTTGCCAGCCGTGGGCCAGTTCCAGACGGACAAGTCGCCATCACCCAGGAACATAGACAACCGATGCCAATGCCCCTCCCAGAACAAGAGTCAGCAAGATCCTTCTTGTGGCACTGGCACCTCTGTGGCACTCTGTGGCACTCAGCGGCACTCTGTGGCACTCAGCGGCACTCTCTGTGGCACTCAGCGGCAGTCTGTGGCACTTCAGCGGCAAGCGTCAGCTGTGGCAGGCGAGCGGTACTAGTTCGGCACCCGTCAAGAAGCTGCGGAGCTGAGGGGGCGGAGCCACATTTCCTGAGACATTTCCTGAGAACACACATTGTTGTTACAACAGGTCAGCTTCCGTAAATCAGTTTTATGATTTTAGTTGAGTCACCGGAGCCACCCGTTCTCTGTATGCATCCTTAGAGTAATTACGTTGTACTTTTTTGTTTCTCATTCATTTTATTTAAGTATGATTTTGCTGGTTTTGCAACAAAAGGGAACATAATACACTCTTTCCAAATTATTACTTTTACAGTCATTTACAACAATCGGCTAAAATAATGAAAATAAATCATCCGTTTTATTATCATTTAAAAGTATATATATAAAAAATTAAAAATTAAAACCCATAAAATGTCCAAACCAAAAATATATGTCTGAAAATATCTTCACTCTTCCTCTGCTTATATGTATATGTATGTCAGTAGGTGCCACAAGCTGCCAGAGGGTGCCTCAGGGTGCCAGAGGGTGTGCCAGAGAGTGCCAGAGAGTGCCGCAAGGTGCCAGAGAGTGCCGCAGGGTGCCGCAGAGTGCCGCTGAGTGCCACAGAGTGCCACAGAGTGCCGCTGAGTGCCACAGAGTGCCACAGAGGTGTCAGTGCCACAAGAAGGATCTCGGCCCTGCACCCCAGAACCTGCTCCTGACTCTAGTCCACCCAGTCCGCCTGCATGCTTACAACTGCCGAAATCTGCCATCCAAAACCATGTCCCAAACCAGAAGTCTTCCCTTTGTTCGCTGAAAAGCGCTCAGAACAAAGACGCACGACACTCTGACCTCTCCCTTGCAGTCAACCAGCCTGCAACGGAACAGGGGACACCCTGGGTACCCCAGAACAATTGGCCCCCAATTTCACAACCTTGCGCGGTGAATAATAGTTTGACCGACCAGCAAGCACAAGATCCAGCCCTTCCAACCATCCGACAGCCGAAGTTGAAACCCACGCGAAAAGGGTCCCGACAACTACCGCTGCTCGAATCGGAAGAGCTGCGAGCTCGCCATTATGTACAACCGAACTGTAAAATGAAAAAGGTACACACCTCTAGTGTACAGGAACCGGTCCGTTGGGCCAGCCCAGCAGACCCAGGGGGGCGATAATTAAATCCAAATCTAGAGTTCTTTTCAATCGTCTGTTGATTTTAGATAGCGTGCTCATAAATGTATAGTTGTTGTTAGTTTAGATATTAGTTGACTAGATCATTAGTATTAGAACGTAATAAACTGTTATATTTTAAAGAGCAGCTGTCTGTGATTACTTTGTGCATGTGTATTGTGATAATAGCTGTATATGTGGTCTGTGCTCAAAC